ATATATATATATATATATATATATATATGCCGTGCATTATGTTACTCAGGTCATTTGGGAGTTTCCTTTCTTATTGCCTGGCCAGCAACTACTTTTTCTTCAGCAAATAACAAAGCCACTTAGGTTACTCTCCTTTCATAAACAATGGCTTCATAGCCATGTGCATGGCAAACTGAGTACCCTTTCCATCATCATGGAGAGAAATTATCTCAACCCTCATCTCCAAAGAAGCGCCTCAAACGATACCAGCTTGTATATTTATTATGAAATAAGCCATTGACCTCCCCTTTTCCTTGTTTGCTGTTTTGTAGGATAGATCATTACCCTTAACTGAGCTTCAATGGACTATCTTCTCAACAACTATAAACCAAAATGTGCATTAATGAATCCTCCTATTCAGCATCTATATCCTGAGCACCTCTCCCCATAGAAAACTAGAAGCAATGGAGGATCTATGAACCATGTCAAGGTGGGGGCTCCAAGGGAGATGCATAGACAGACAACACTATCTACATATGCAATATCAGGATATTATTGGTAAAATAATTGAACTCAGCTGCTAGAGTTCTAGTCACTGGCATTGTTTTAAAACTGGGTAAACCATCTCAGAATTAGCTAAAGCCGACTCGGCTCTCACGTACCTATTTTATGAAAGTCCCCATTAACAGATGTAATTAGCTTACAGATCAAATGCAGCAAATATTATCCTACCATTGTTTTCTATCTATAAAAAGAGTGCCCTCGTTTCTGCATAACAAGTGGACCATGGTCCTACCAACTCCAAACAGCAAGTGTAACCATCAGAGTTCTGACCATTACAACCGATGATACGATCCAATAGACCTGGAAATTGTGAACCTAGCATGTCGCACAAAGAATGAGTAATCTCAAGTCCTATCTCTCATCCAAAAACTGTTGTTGTAAACTGCGATGGAGATATCAATATCTATGGACATCCACAATTCACAGAAGAACAGTAACTTGATCCCCTAAATATTTAAAAAATAATATTAGATGAATAACATGAGTTACACACTACCTGAACTCCAATCTTAAGGACATAAAAAACTCTTAAACAGGAAAGTCGATTCTTGTTCGAGTTCATAACTTTATATTATACTTTACCAAGTAATCAAATCAAAGAAGAATATCATCAAAATAGAATAGCATACCTAAATATGAACCAAAGTAAAACAAGAGAATAAATTAAGCTGTAAAATCATTTGATTCACTATGCTGTAAATGATTTAACTCTCAAGAATCAATTAGGACCTTGAGCTCTAATTCACTATGCTGTAAATGATTTAACTCCCCAGAATCAAGACACTGAACTCTAACAGAGACAAAATATATACTTGAATAGAACATCAAAGATCCTCTAAAACTTACGTAGTTGTGGAAACTGTAGCAAAATAATGAAAAGCATCCACAGTGTCTCAGCTTTCCTATCATATCCATTCAGAAAACCTATTAAGGTTTTACTAGTTCAGATAACTAGATTGCATATGTCAAGCATCTGAGAGTTATTGCACCTAAGTTTCCAATAGACACAATTATGAGTTTCGACTAGCTGAGCTGACAGGAAGATCATGAAAAACTACAAATAGAGAGATGTATGCTCAAAGTTCCTGAGGCCAAGCAGTTCGTTCTACAATAAATTACTAGTACAACCATTCCTTGATATTTGACAATAGAGGCCTAATAAGAAATTCACCCATAATAAGAAACTTACCCCAAAAAAAGGCCTAAGAATGACGTACGGACATGCTGAAATTCTGACTAAAGGAAATCCGCACATGCATAAGCCATGACTGATTGAAAAGCTCAGCAAATTCATTTATATCAGTAGTACAAAAAGCATCCGTGAATGGTTAATCATCTGAAATCTAAAGGGGGGGCTGGGAAATCAATAGCCACCATGTCCCTCCGATTGACCATTTTTTTAATCATCCATTATGTCTTTAACTAATAAGTTTTTTTTTTCTTCTTTTCCCTTTTTTTTTCAGTTGTTTCCTTAACTAACAAGGTTGAGGCATTGAACGCTATTAGTTTGTTTGCTAGTATAAATTCAGAAAATGATCTCATACTGCTTTTCTGATGGCTAATTAGTCAAACCAATAGCAATTAATCGATCAACAGAATTTGCAACCTAAGCAGCGATTTTTGCATTAATCCACTGATCATTTTGCTTCAGATATTCCAATGTTACAGCCTCTACTTTAGCGAATTCCATTCTTGTTCCACAAAGTTCGACACAAGTATCCAATTTGAATGGAACTTTGCAGTTTTAAGTTCCATATTAAATAGGTGTTCCGATCAACTTAATAAAAATCAACTGCACCGCTCTGTAAGCGCCAAATTCTCAGAACTATCATGATGAGTAATTTTTTCATTTTTTGTACAAACTACACAGGCTGGAACTGAATCATTTGTTGCTTCTTTTCCTTTTTTTTTGGCATCAACCAATTGCTTCTCTTATCAATAGTGGATATTTCAATTCAACAAATATTCCCCATATTTCACTCAATCTCTATACGGAAGTTAAATTATAGTATTTTTCTAAAAAAACTCAAATTAAATTTTGAAAACTACCCAAACTTCAATTTTATTATAATACAACAAAGTCCTTAAGTGTCTATTATTCAAGGAGTCACAAGGGTGTCCCAGAACATGAATTCTGGTTACCAAATGGCCACACGATATTATCCCATGACAATTTCTCTGCAGCTAGTAATACAGGGAAGCAAAGATTAGGCAGAGGACACACTAAGCAAGAAATGATGATCCTCCTTCAACATCCCATCTCAGTATCCCTTTCCTTCATTTGCACGAGCAGCAACATTTTTTCAAACATGTTGGAACTGAGCTCTTGCCCTCCACTCTTAACATTCTTCTCAACTAAAGGAAAACCACATAGAATACACAGTTGAAAAGTTTTCTCACATCTCTGAACGCAAATTCTCCACCTCACTCACAAACTGCCTACTTTGACAATTCTCGGACCATATTCTCCATAATACCACCAGTGAATCCCACCAATACAACTAGTAAGAAAACAACTCTAACAGACTCCCTATTAATATGCAATTCAATCCCCCAACCCTAACATTTTCCTTTTATCAATTATGCAATTTAATCCCCTCAAATATGAGTCCTGACTTCTTCTGGAAATTACGTTGCCAAAAAAAAAAATACTTCTTCTAGAACGCTAGGTCCAATATCATTAACGCTGACAGTCACTGCATTCTCCTTGTGGAACCCAATAAACTTTTTTACCTTGTGTACGGCCATGTTCAATTCCACTCCTTTCATTCCTGGCAATAGAAAAATTCCCAAACTCCAGAAAGTCCTACTCTACCCTCCCAGAAGTAATCATCTCTTTAAACCCTTCTTTCTCCACTTTACCACATATTGTCTTATTGCGCTTTGAAATATAAGTATAGAGATAATACTAGCCAAACAAGTTAAGTAATAAGCAAGGCCGGACAAAGACTGTATCATAGAACCTGAATCTTTAACTTCCTTTTGCTGAGTCATGAAACTTCTTTGCAAAATCTCCTATTTTGCTGAATCTTAATTTTCCACAAAGAGGTTTTTCAAATGGCATAAATGGTTTCAACATGTGTTAGGACTCCAGAAATAACTACTACAGAGCATACATAAAAGGTATTCTTTGAATTTCGGATTTTCTTTTTTCCCACATCAACAGCATCATGGAATTTAACAAAGTATGGAGGCAATGCATAGAAAGAAAATAAACTAGACATATATAAAACATTACTTACTTTTCATGTCATTCATCTCAAAGGAAACCATCTTGCCAACAAAGAGGAAAGCGACAAAACTGTTCAAACACAAACATCAAATACTTGTGAAGTCAGATAAAATAATCAGAAATAGAATGCCAAATCTTCCATGTTGATGTAGACCACGGCTCCAGAGAACTTAAGACTAAACACAAATAATTAAATGTTTCATAAAAGCAACTGTTTGAAGATCCACAGAGAAAGATAATTCAAAAACCCCAAAGACTTTATACAATCAATCCTACAACAAAACAAAAAATACCAACCAATAAAATACCAGCAAAATACTGTACAAACACAGAAAAATACGCATACAAATGCATACAGAAATACATAAAAGCAAAACCTAACTTATCTTTATTCCACATTTAAAGCAAACTTTCGAAAATAAAGCCAATTCCACATTTAAGCCAAACTTTAGAATATAAGATGGCAAGCCAACCAAGCAACCTAGCATCTGCACCATCTCAGCCACAAGAGTGCCTGATCCCTAATGTCCAAACCATAAGAGAAATATAGAGGCAAACCTCGTTTTGAAATAAGAAGTAAATTTCTTACTGACCTGTCTCCCTTTCACTCTAGATAGAGTCTGAAACTAATCATTCTTAACATAACTGTTTGCTTAGAGGGTAACTCAAAATGTATCAATCCAAAATGAAGAAAATTAAGGTGTAAAAATAGCAAAGGACCTAGACTTGATCATCCACAATGTACAAAATTTGTAATTCCAGACTCATAATGATAGTAAATCATCAACCACTTAATGCTAATCATCCACAACCTATGCATTTGGCAAAGTCTCCCATTCAAAAGATCAACTGACTGAAATATCTATGTGAATGAGAAAATGCATGGAAATTAAATTTCATAGGCCATCCAGCTTACGACCTCAGGCAGAAAACGAAATCAAATTTACTGAAGATTCATCATAATAGAGAAATTCAAAGAAGAATGAGAAATTCAAACATCTAAGAGCGAATAATCATCAGGTTCATGACTTCCACATCAAAACGTAAGAACACGATAATGTAAAATGTACATATTGTTTTGTAAAACCCCTTCAATAAGCCACGAGCTGCATGAAATTGCTAACAGGAACAGAAAAACTCAGAGGAAATGAAATTCAAGATAAAATAACCATTACAAAAGCCCTGAGTGCTTCGATTTATATCAATGAGATAAATAGCTCCTTATTCAAATAAAATCTGCCAAAGATGGAAAGATTTCAACTGAAAACTGAGGAATTCATTTGATTCCTGACCTGATCAAAAACTTCTAAAGATGAATCTTCGGATCAAGGAACGACTGTAATGAAACTTGAACTCGCCAGTCCAACTCAGTACTAAATCACTGCAAATTTTGGAATACGAGAGTAAGTTTTGGAGCCGGTCCCAAAACAAACAGCAAAATTACGCTATTTCAGGTAAAATTTCGCCATTCTGATCTGAATCACAGGACGCATTTTCTTTGGTGCTAAACTCACCGCGATTAAGAGCCCTAAAATAATGTTCTCAAGAGGCACGCTCAGCCCTCACTAATTTTGAACTCTCTTTTATGCGGAAAAGCGTTTAAACCCCGTTGTAAGATTCTACGAACGGGTTTTGAGTGCGTCAGCCGACTCACAAAAAACGGGTGAGTCTCTGAAAAAGTTTATATAGAGCCGAGGCTCTAAAGAATCAGATTGGAGCCCACCTCAAAAATTTCATTAGAAGAGGATCTATTGATGCTTAAATATCCTCCAATTAATCATCTCGACATCAAGATGTATGAGCATGAGAAAAAAAATATGGATTTCAAATTTTAAAAATAGTGCATCTTAAAATGCATTTTTTTACCGTTAATTTCAAGATTTTTAAGTTTTTATAGATGTGCTCAATCTAATTTTGAAGCTATGAATTTTATAATTAAAGATAAAAACATATTTTATGCCTATTACAAAGATTTTCAGTATTAAAACCACATTGCTTGATACTATTTAAAAGTGCGCTTTTACTTTGATTGTTTAGAGCCCCGATTCTATACAAATCACACCCCAAAAAAAATGTTTTAACTATAGTTCAAAATAGATAATGGAAAAACATATTCAAAACAATATGATTTTTATTTTTTTTAAAAAAAATTATGATCACCTCAATCTTGAGATTAATTCCAAAATTTTAGATCCGAAATCCTTGTTTTTGATGACGCATATCTATCGGTGAGTCGGACGTACCAAACACTTTCTCCTTTTACAAGCATACCACCATTGCAGATATGACAAACATCAACCCGCCCTTTTGAAAGGTAGAAAAATTCCTAAAACAAAGAAAATGATGTGCCCTTCTAAAAATCTTTGTTTGGGGATTGATATGGAATTAAAGTCATAGTTTAAGTCACTCGATATGGATTTTTATTTTAGCTCCATGATTTTATAGCTCAAAATATAGTGCAAATTTGATGATATGTGAAGAATTGGAATGTACGATGTTGAACATGTCGAAAACAGATTTTTAAATAATTTAGTTTAAATGTGCATCTCATTAAGACATATATAGCGAGAAGCCAATTCAGATGCACAAGCTAAAAAAATGAGCTACTCGAGATGGCTTTCATACAACCTTGTTGACACCTTTTTGAGCTCTTACTTTTGTTTTTCCTTTTCTTTTTTATCTACATACGATGCATATATAGCATTTTTTACCTTCCCCGTCATTGGGATTTTTGTATAGAGCACCCAGTCTCTACAATGCCTATTTTTTAATCCAGTACAATCCTAATATAAATGCCAACTCATCTCATCATCGACATCAAAATCTTTTTCCAACTATTTGAGGTGAGCTGCACAAGTCTTGATTCACCATTCTGCTCTATTACGAGTCATAGTCTTAATAAGGCTATAAGTCCTCATATATTTTTTCACTACTTCCAACTATATCCTTTTGAGCTTACCATTTAACTTTTTTAGCCTTCCACTTGAACTAACTCACACCTCCTAACAGGTGCTATACTGGATTTGCATTGAAAATGGCTAAACCACCTAGGTCTACTTTATCTCATCTTATTGCCTATTACAGTTATACCTAAATTATCTCAAATGTATTTATTTTAAATAAGATCCCTTCTTGTTTTGCCACTCATCTATCTCAACATCCTCATGTCAACTACATTCATCCTACAGGTATGTCGTTTCTTAACAGCCCAACATTCTGCCCCATAAAGCAAAGTGGGCCTCACAGTTGTCCTATAAAACTTGTCATTCAACTTAATTGGTATGCAGCTGTAAGGACCAAAGTTTCATAGCCAAAGTATCACGCACGATGGTAGGAGTCTGTTAAAAAGGGGGGCACCGCCGTCTGTGGTTCAAGAGGCAATGTTGACTGTGACTAAGGTACAATGTCGCGTGTGTACAAGAGAGGGGCAACGCCGTTTGGAGAAGAGAGAGAGTCAGCGCCACGCGTGAACAAGGGGCATCGCCTTTTGTGAATGAAAAGTAGCGTCGGCTGCGCATCATCGTGTGCATACTGCCGGCTACGCATTGTCGTGTGTGTAGCGCCGGCTGTGTGCCTGACAGGCATGAGTTGTGGGTGCCACTTGTAGATTGTATGCTATGTTGAGTGCCACTTATCCAAGCTTGGCACCACTTGGACAACCACCCCAACCTCATGGGTACTTAAGCCTTACCTCTCACCCACGCCACTCACTCTTCCCTCATCTTTTCTCTCTGTCTAAGGCAAATATTTGGAAAAGCTACTATGGGAGGCAGAGCCATTGTTGGAGTAAAATAAAGTTGTGAAAGAAGGATTGGAGAAGGCACGTTTGTTGTTCAAGTAAGTGGATCCATTATCATTGCATTATAGTAGTAAGGATACATGGATTTTATGCTTATGAGATCAGTAATGAAAGTGTATGTGGTGTGGAAATTTCTTATGCCTTATTCACTGAAATTTGGGGTTTTTTTTTTATGATGGAAATGGATGTTGAAATAAATGTATGATTCATAAATTCTTTAAGAAATGCATGTTAATATGTTTACATTGTGAGAGAATAGTTGTTATTATGTTCTTCATCATGAAATTGAGGTTATGGAACATGTTCTTGAGGTATGTGTGGCATTACTGAGAAATTTTAGAAATATACACATTCTTTTAGGGAGCTTTTGAATAATCAAACGAGGTCCAATCGACCTCAAATCACCGCCATTGGAAACATATGTGAGTCTAACAAAACGTTCATGTTTACCCACTGTCGAAATTCTTTACAAAAATGAAATTATGTTTCAAAATGTACGTATAGGTCAATGTTGACTATTTTTCCTGGATTTTTCCACTGACACTGCTGTGGTCACTGACTTTAACTAACCAAACAAGGTCCATTTCCTGTCCAACCACAGCCATTTGAAAGATCTTTGAGCAGGCTAAAATCTGCATGTTAGAAATTATTTTGAAATTCTTCTTAGATTGAAAGTTATGCTTTACTTTATGAAGATAGGTCACTGTGGACAGTTTTGATAAAACTCAGAATTATCACCTTGATTGACACGGATCTTTGAATAACTAAATAGAGTCCAAATGTTTTCAAATTGGCATTGTTAGAAAGATATATATCTTTACTTAAACTTTGATTTTGATATTGTCTCAAAATACTTCACGGTTTGAGAATTATAGTGATACAAAACAGGATACGTCCTTGTTCCATGTACACATCAGGGTACAGCTAGTAAACCATCATTCCCTTGAACCTTTAAGAGGCCAAATAGGGTCCAATTATCTTCAAGCCACCCCCATTTGAAACATGGGTGCATCTAGTATAAAATTGATTAAGGAACCATCGTTAAATTCCAAATGGACCAAACGTTACGACCCTAATTATGAGTGAATGTCATGGCCTATAATTGCTGGATATTGAGCTGTAATGCTTAATTTTGATATTGCTATTGTCATTGTGATACTGCCATTTTTACTGTGATACTGCTACTATTGTTGTGATACTGCCATTATTACTATGATACTGCCACTGTTACTGTGATACTGCTACTGTTACTGTGACACTCCCATAGTTACTGTGATATTGTCATTGTTACTGTGATACTGCCATTATACTGCCATTATTACTATGATACTGCCACTATTACTGTGATACTGCTACTGTTACTGTGATATTGTCATTGTTATTGTGATACTGCTAATGTTACTGTGATACTGCCACTGTTACAGTGATACAACTGCTGTTACTACAATACTGCCACTGTTACTATGCTACGACTACTGTTATTGTGATATGGCTACTATATTGCGACACTGGAAGCATGATAATACGATACTGACCACTACGCAATGGACCACCCATTGGTAGTGGGTAATGCTATATTGTTGAAACACTGATACTGTAAGCCATTTTGTGACTGATCACTACGCAATGGACCACCCATTGGTAGTGGGGACTGTTTCTTGTGAAGCACTGTGGGACTATTATATTGTGATATTCTGTGACTGACCACAACACAATGGGTCACCCATTTGTAGTTGGATATTGGATGTCGGCATTTGTTGATTGTACCTTGACCCCAATGATAGGACTAGGGTCGGGAGGTGGAACTGGATAACAGGGTGGGTTGGTCCCCCCCCCCAAATCTCTATTGACACTATGCATTTGGTCACCCAATGGTAGTGTAACGTTCTCTCGCTGGAAGCGCACATGAGAGGGTCGTGTCTTATAAGGTATCTGCCTATCAAATACCCTAAAGCGCACTGGGGATGTGTGTGTGAGGGCATTACAAAATGGGACACCCACTTGTCATTATCCTCCCTCCTGAATAAGGGTAGAGGTTTCATGCGACATGATTGGGTTAGTCTAAGCAATGGAACTTCTACTTCAGGAGTAGGCATCTCTAGTTTCTATAATTGTGATATGTTAACCTTATTGTTCTGCCTAAAGTAAAATGACTTATGACTTATACTCCTTGTATTAAGCTGCTTTTATTATTATACTGTTAGAATACTGAAAGGCATTCTAAAGAGCTCCCCTTGACATTCTGTGATTAAGTATGCACTACTTACTGTTAAATAGTTGGGATGCAATGGTGTAGATCTGCATATTAGGTTGTTAGTTCATTCCATCTTATTTGCATAACTGTAGAGAGAAAGTGTTAGTCTCTGAACTAAAGGTGAGTAGCTGTGTTGTGTTCCGGTGGTTGAAGTTTGAAGTCTGAAGAGCCATCTTCTGAAGCTTTCTATAGTATGTTATTATTTGTCCTACCGATGTGATGGTTACTTTATACTTTGTATTTTTTGGCCGTTAGTTCCTTGAAGAAAATTGTAAGAACTTTTGGATATTAGTGGAATGGGAATGGCTGTTCATTTGGAATGATATCTGTCTTTATGTGTAGATTTTAGTTTTACTTTCGTGATTTACTCTTGAATCCATATTTATGCATTGAGGCACTCCCACCTGAGTGACGTTCATGACCTCCGATCGTGATTCCGCACTCTGTCGCCCTCCGGTAAAGTACGGTAGGGATCAAGGGACGGGATCATGACAGTTATGGTATCAGAGCAGCCAAGATAGGATTTTTTGCCTAAGGAGTCTTAGGAGTGTCTGTAGGATAGTTCTTTG